GGCCCGGCCCGGCCCGGCCCCGCACTCACCCACCAGCACCCGCATGGCTGCGCCGGGTGCGCATGCGCCAGGCAGCGCTGATTGCGCATGCGGCCCCCCCGCGCACCGCCTTCCTCCTTAAAGGGCCAGGGCAGAGAACGGGGCGCGGGGGCTGCGGCGGGGGTGGGTGGCAGCTTAGAAACGTGCTGGAAAACCGGTCCGAAACGAAGCGGGAGAAGCAGCGGCATGAGCAAAGGCCGAGGAGCTGCACGGCGGGGCGAGAACCCACTGGGCGAATGCAGGAGAAGGCCGGGGTGTGCAGCTCCTGATGAAAACACTGAAGGAGACATGGGTTGCCTGCTGCAGGGAGAGGCGAGAAAACAACTCGGAGGAATTTGTTAAGTCAGTCAGTTAATCTGAGCTGAAATAAATGCCAATGAAGTGTTTTTTAATATTTCTAATCCAAAATGAAGGGTTTTGCAGTTGGGAATTAGGCTGGGATTGTTCTCACTGACCCTAAGCCTCTGTTCCCTCCGGACGCCTTCTGGCACGTCTCCCCAGGGTCACTGAAAAGAAATTATTTCAAGGGTGTAATTCTGCCACTGGACTTTACCTGTCTCTTCTAAGGTGGCATGAAACGCCCATTGAAAGACAAGACTTCCCACCCGCGGGCAGCCGGGGCAGCCTTTGCTTCACAGAAAGCTGCCCAGATGCTGTTGTCGTGTGTCCTAGGAAGAGCAGAGGGTGACACCAGGTGTAGGCAGGACCTCTACGCATTGGTGGCTGTTCTGAAGCAGGGACAAATGCTGAAGATATTTCTACCCACCTATCTACAGTTCAGTTCACCTAGTCATCCATCCTTGTCTGCACAGACACCCGTAGCCTGTCTGTCCATCTGTCCTCCTTCCCCCATACCCTGCTCTGTGTGTTCTTATCCCCCCTGCCACCGGCCGTATAAAAGTGTTTGGCAAGTCCTGTGGTTAAGCAAGGAAGGAACTGGCTTTCTAGGAGGAGCTGGCTGGAAATCTAAGAGACTGGGAATTATTTGCAGAGGAAGAGGCATCCCTGTAGTTGATAGGATGAAAGGTGGAGATGAACAGCTGGTTTCTGCATGGCATGTGCTGGCAGGCGGGTGGGTGAGCTGGAGCTGCTCTCCACAGTGTGGTCTGCTCAGCCTCTATCTGCTGGACGGGTCGTGGTGGTGATGTCAGCTGGAGGTGCTGGCAGGCTGTACATGGATTCTCCTTTTAACTCCTCCATAAAGGGCAGATGGCTGTACCTGGGTGCAGTTTAATAGGTCCTTCATTGCAAACTGCCAAAAAAAGGCAGTTGTAAGGGACCTTTGGATGTGTCTCAAACTTGTGTTTTCCTCCCACCTCCGTCTGTCTGATGGTGTTTTCACTGGATAGAACTTCCTAGAAAGACAAAATCCAGCATCCCCTTTCTCGCTTCCTCCTCGCAGCCTCACTGTATCCATCTAATAAGATGTGATGGGGAAAGAAACATGCCAGCAGTCAGTCCCGACCCATAACAGGGCCCCAGCGCCAGCACCTGAGGTAGCCCCGTGTCCCAATCCAGTATTGGGGGATGTTTCGATACGATCCCGAGGATGAGATTAAGACGCAAACGAGGTCAGATGCCGTACAGCCCTTTCAACTTTATTCTCTCAAACAACGGGACTGTGATAGGACAGAAAGAAGGAGGAAGGGGCGAGTCAGAATGCCTGACCAAGCAGAGGAGGAGATGCGATAGGGATAGCTACCACCACCACCGATCCAGTGATGTTCTGTGGGTTCACGCCCCGTGCGGGCAAGTAGCCAATGTTCTCAGAAGGAAAGGGAGGAGTGAGGGCCAACCAGCAGCCCCCAGGGAGGAGCACACAGTCCTTTTGTAGGGGGGTTCGCCCATGTGCAGTGCCCATTTTCGTACGTGCGGTACGTGTCGTCCGTGCTACACGCGACAGTCTCCTTTCTCACCAACCCGCGCGCAAGCACAGTTTTGTCCAGCAACTCCTCCAAAAACGGGGTGTCGAGGTCAGGAAGTGGGGGGGTGATGTAACAGCAATGTCAAGACAGACACAGTCCAAAGCAGTCCCTTACACTCCACCCCGTGGCTCGACATTGCTGTCTTCGTGGTGCTATGAAGGATATAGGTTATATAGAGAGAAAGACAGAGGAGGTGCATAATAACTCTTATAACGATACTGAACTATGTACATGGCAAAAGGCAGGGCAAGATATGGCAGAAAATATATACAGCTTATTTTATATTAATGGAATGCTTAATAAACAAAACATTGCACAATGCAGATATCCTTCTTTCTAACACTCTTAGGTTTAACAATGTCTTATTTCATCAGGTGGATTTGGAGAATCAGGTTGCTTACAATTTGTGCTGGTGTGAGGGGTGTAGATGTCCATGGCCAGCTTGGCAGCTCTAGAGGTCCCCCACAAACCTAACAGTGGCTCAGGTTAAAAGCTTGACTCACAGCTTTTACTAATAATACAAATTCATTATCTTTAAAAGGATCATATGGATCGGGAGGAGGTGGGGGAATCAGTTTCCCATCGCCCTTATACACGAGTCCCCAAAATAGTATAATTAAAAATGGCATATACTTTCTAAATTATGTTAAAACCGGTGTCTGCTTCACCTCTTCTGGGGGCGTGTCTGGGTCAGTCGCTCCCCGCCCCCAGAAAATAAAACTAAAGATAAACTCGCTTCTCGGGTTAGATAGGGGGAACCATTCATTTAGTGCGGGTCTTATGAGTTTTCCCCTTTTTTGGTTAACATTCAGGGAGCCAAAGTTTCCCCAGGGACTAAGGGCGAGGAGAATGGTCACCCAAAGCAATTTCTTTGATGGTATGCTATGCATCCTAGGAAGATAAATAAGCTAATGAACATCAGTATTATACAAAAAATCAGAATCCACATGAGGGTTCCTCAGTTGTGGTTCAGGGTACTATTACCCTTCCTTTTCCAAGGTCCACCTACGAAAAAAAAGGGAAAACATCCTCGGTTCACTCAGGGAACCAGAGGAAAAAGTTACTATCAAAAAGATGGGACAATCCATTGTATGTTGATTTTGTGCTCCTTTCCGTGAGCATCCTTCGCCCTCCAGATATATCTGTTCAACGGGGTTTCAAGCACTAATGGGACGTTTCCCACAGTGGGAACACCCACAAAATTTCCTCTCGAGCTGCCCACTCTCAGACCACCTTGGCTGTGAAATGTGACCCGTTGTCTGATAGAATTGATTGTGGTTTGGGGAAGATTCCAAACCATTCTTCTCAAATATTTAAGGAGACGAATTCTCCCAAAAAGAAATTTGTAAAAGTTTTGATTACAGTATGGTGAAGGGTTTACAATAAGAAAGCTACTGTTTAATCCAATAAGGAGAGGCAGGAGAAAAAGTGATATTGGGAAGGAAAAAGCAGGCAGGCTTTTGCTAATGACCTCACCCAACAGAATGGTGATTAAACTTCAGGACAACCAAGAAACAAGCTGATTCTTCAGTTCTTCAGATCACATTGACCTCATCTAACTTTAGGTATCCCAGAGTTAAGAATCTAGGTGACAAGAATCCTCTAGATTCCATCTAGGTGGGACGGAAAATGTTAAAGGAGCAGCAGCCGCCCAAGCATTCACACACCATCCCGGGAGTCGCACACACACCACCCGAGACTTTAACTGCTAGGACCGGAGTCCCTTCGCAGTGGGCAGCTCCACTGAGCTGACGGGTGCCCCTTTTCAACTCCTCGCTCACACACACACACTCACCCTCGGGCGCTTTCCTTCCCCTCAGGCTCGACCCTAGGTTTCCCTGAAGCAGAGTCTCCAACATGGTGTGCGCCAGGTGAATTTATTGAGTGGTACAGCGGTGAAGAGCAGCTCGAGTTGGGTGCCTCCAGGGAGGGACCCCGAACAAAGAGATCCCTGGGCAATTAGACCCTTACAGTCTAAGTTCCCCTCCCCTCATGCGACAGTTGGGTCCAATAGTAATATTTGGGTCTGGGGTTCTTGTTCCTCATTGGATCCTTTCCCTGTCTGCAGGCAGGACATTCCTTTTCTTATCTTGAAGCATTGCAGCTTCTGCCGATGGTTTTGGCTACCTGACCTTCCTGGTTTGCTCCGGTTTCAGGGCCTTCCCTCATGTAGCTAGGTAGGAGTTCAGCATACGGTCAGCGTATCTGGGTGAAAGTTCACAGCTTGCAGTCTAAGGCTTCAACGAGCCTTTGGATTCTTATTGGAGCTGAAAAGTGACTTCTACAACAGAAAATAACAGACACCCCCGGATTGTCTTCGCATCTGAATATATTTGTAAAAGAGCTTATTTGAATCATGTCTTTAACACACCTCTCTCTCTCCATTGGTCGCAGAGTCCAATTAACCTGTTCAAAGGCCAGTCTTGTATAGGGATAGATTTAAAGAGGTGAATCCAATCCTCTAGTTCCTCAATTACACATCCTTTACAAATGATTAGTTGACAAGTTGATATACAGTAATCTGGGAAAGTAAATAGATTTATCTGACCTGAAACACAGGACAGAAGACTTTCAGGAGCTGAAACACACTTAATGGTATTGTCTGTACTGTTTTACATGTCTTGGAATACCCAGGAAAACCAGACATAGCTGGTAAGTGTAACATAGGATTAATGCTGGGTCCGTGCCCTTCTGGAATGGCAAAATATAGATTCCACATCCTAGGTTATAGCCCTACATTCCCTAAGCAGTCAACAGAGAGACAGAGTCACTTACAGGGAACAATTAAGTCCATCTTAAAATAGACTTCTACATTTCTCCAGCTCCCTTCACTGGCTATATAAGCTTACATGGTTATCCATATTTAGATTTAGATTTATACACTGGAGGACTCTCAGCATGCTCCATACATGATAATTCTATTAAGAGTGCCATAAAGATCACTAATGGTGGCCAGCATTTGAAGGAAGAAATCTAATCCATCTTATCACAAATTAATTGACAAAATTCTCATAAATATAATGAGAAAGCAGCAAAGGGGAACGTATGCATGATTGAGCATTCAGAATTCAGGACTTTTCA